GATTCCAAAGGGGTACCATCACAAATTCGGGCGATTTTTCCGAAATGCCATTTTCTTTATGTTTTGGTGGCTACAGATCACGAAATTACGCCGAGGCTATTCTTCACCGATAATGAAATCTATTGATCATATTCTACACGGATGATAAGTCCATTAAGCACCGATTTGTGCCCATTTAATTTTAGATGGAATTTCGTAATTTTTTGAACAACGAAAGGCCATTTTCTTTGTATATTGAAGGCTACAGAACACGGATTCGGCCTGAGGCTATTTTTCAACAATGATTGAATCCATTAAGCACCGATTTGGGGGGATTTATTCCCGGACAATTTTTGGCAGATTCCAAAGGGGTACCATCCTAGATTTCAGGCGATTTTCCCGAAATGCCATTTTCTTTCGATTCTGGAGGCTACAGATCCTGAAATCAGGCCGAGACTATTCTCCACCGATAATGAAGTCTATTGATCCTATTCTCCACGGATGATAAGTGCATTAAGCACCGATTTGGGCCAATTTATTTTCGGATGACATTTTCGTAATTTTTTGGGCGACGAAAGGCCGTTTTCTTTTGATATTGAAGGCTACAGATTACGGATTCGGCCTGAGGCTATTCTTCAACGATGATTGAGTCCATTAAGCACCGATTTGGGCGGATTTTGTCCAGGTCAATTTTTGACAGATTCCAAAGGGGTAGCATCACAGATTTCGGGCGATTTTTCCGAAATGTCATTTTCTTTCGAATCTGGAGGCTACAGATCACGAAATTAGGCCGAAGCTATTCTCCACGGATAATGAAGTCTATTGATCCTATTCTCCACGGATGATAAGTCCATTAAGCACCGTTTTGGGCCAATTTATTTTCGGATGGCATTTTCGTAATTTTTTGTGAGACGAAAGGCTAATTTCTTTGGATATTGTAGGCTACAAATCACATATTCTCCCCGAGGCTATTTTTCAACGATGATAGAGTCTATTAAGCACCGATTTGGGCGGATTTATTTCATGTCAATTTTTGGCATATTCCAAAGGGGTACCATCACAGATTTCGGGCGATTTTTCCAAAATGTCATTTTCTTTCGATTCTGGAGACTACAAATCACGGAATCAGGCCGAGGCTATTCTCCACCGATAATGAAGTCTATTGATCCTATTCTCCACGAATGATAAGTTCATTAAGCATCGATTTGGGCCAATTATTTTCGGATGGCATTTTCGTAATTTTTTGGGCGACGAAAGGACAATTTCTTTGGATATTGAAGGCTACAGATCACGGATTCGCCCTGAGGCTATTCTTCGACGATGATTGAGTCGATTAAGTATAGCTTTGGGCGGATTTATTCCGGGTCAATTTTTTACAGACTCCAAAGGGTTACTATCATAGATTTCGAGCGATTTTTCCGAAATGACATTTTCTTTCGATTCTGGAGGCTACAGATCACGGAATCGGGCCGAGGGTATTCTCCACCATTAATGAAGTCTATTGATCCTATTCTCCGCATATGATAAGTCCATTAAGCACCGATTGTGGCCAAATTATTTTCGGATGGTATTTTCGTAATTTATTGGATGACGAAAAGCCATTTTCTTTTGATATTGAAGGCTACAGATCACGGATTCGGCCTAAGGATATTTTTCAACAATAATTGAATCCATTAAGCACCGATTTGGAGGGATTTATTCCGGGTCAATTTTTTAAAGATTCCAAAGGGGTACCATCACAGATTTCGTGCGATTTTTCCAAAATGCCATTTTCTTTCGAATCTAGAGGCTACAGATAATGGAATCAGGTCGAGGCTATTCTCCACTGATAATGAAGTCTATTGATCATATTCTCAACGGATGATAAGTCCATTAAGCACCGATTTGTGCCAATTTATTTTTGGATGGCAATTTCGTAATTTTTTGTACAACGAAAGGCCATTTTCTTTGGATATTGAAGGCTACAAATCACGGATTCGGCCTCAGGCTATTTTTCAACAATGATTGAATCCATTAAGCACCAATTTGGGTGGATTTATTCCGGGTCAATTTTTGGCAGATTCCAAAGGGGTACCATCACAGATTTCGTGTGATTTTTCCGAAATACCATTTTCTTTCGAATCTGGAGGCTACAGATAATGGAATCAGGTCGAGGCTATTCTCCACCGATAATGAAGTCTATTGATCATATTCTCCACGGATGATAAGTCCGTTAAGCACCGATTTGTGCCAATTTATTTTTGGATGGCAATTTCGTAATTTTTTGTACAACGAAAGGCCATTTTCTTTGGATATTGAAGGCTACAAATCACGGATTCGGCCTGAGGCTATTTTTCAACACTGATTGAATCCATTAAGCACCAATTTGGGTGGATTTATTCCGGGTCAATTTTTGGTAGATTCCAAAGGGGTACCATCATAATTTCGGGTGATTTTTCCAAAATGCCATTTTCTTTCGATTCTGGAGGCTACAGATCACGAAATTTGGCTGAGGCTATTCTCCACCGATAATGAAGTCTATTGATCCTATTCTCCACGGATGATAAGTCTATTAAGTAACGATTTTGCCAATTTATTTTCGGATGGCATTTTCGTAATTTTTTCAGCGACGAAAGGCCATTTTCTTTGGATATTGAAGGCTACAGATCACGGATCGGCCTGAGGCTATTCTTCAACTATGATTGATGCCAATAAGAACCGATTTGGGCGGATTTAGTTCGGGTCAATTTTTGGCAGATTCCAAAGGGCATCACAGATTTCGGGCGATTTTTCCGAAATGCCATTATCTTTCGATTCTGCACGTTACAGATCACGAATTCAGGCCAAGGCTATACTACACAAATAATGAAGTCTATTGTTCCTATTCTCCACTGATGATAAGTCCATTAAGCACCGATTTGTGCCAATTTATTTTCGGATGGCATTTTCGTAATTTCTTGGGCGACAAAAGGCCATTTTCTTCGTATATTGAAGGCTACAGATCACGGATTCGGCCTGAGGCTATTCTTCAATGATGATTGAGTCCATTAAGCACCGATTTGGGCGGATTTATTCATTTTCAATTTTTTGCAGAATCCAAAGGGGTATCACCACAGATTTCAGGCGATTTTTGCGAAATGTCATTTTCTTTCGAATCTAGAGGCTACAAATCACGGAATTAGGTCGAGGCTATTCTCCATCGATAATGAAGTCTATTGATCATATTCTCCACGGATGATAAGTCTATTAAGCACCAATTTGTGCCAATTTATTTTCGGATGGCATTTTCGTAATTTTTTGGGTGAGGAAAGGCCATTTTCTTTTGATATTGAACGCTACAGATCACAGATTCGGCCTGAGGCTATTCTTCAACGATGATTGAGTCCTTTAAGCATCGATTTGGGCGGATTTAGTCCGGGTCAATTTTTGACAGATTCCAAAGGGGTACCATCATAGATTTCGGGCGATTTTTCCGAAATGCCATTTTCTTTCGTTTCTGCACGTTACAGATCACGAATTCAGGCCGAGGCTATACTACACGGATAATGAAGTCTATTGTTCCTATTCTCCACAGATGATAAGTCCATTAAGCACCGATTTGGGCCAATTTATTTTCGGATGGCATTTTCGTAATTTTTTGGGCGACGAAATGCCATTTTCTTTGTATATTGAAGGCTACAGATCACAGATTTGGCCTGAGGCTGTTCTTCAACGATGATTGAGTTCTTTAAGCACCAATTTGGGCGGATTTAGTCAGGTTCAATTTTTGGCAGATTCCAAAGGGGTACCATCACAAATTTCGGGTGATTTTTCCGAAATGCCAATTTCTTTCGATTATGGAGGCTACAAATCACGAAATCAGGCCGGGGCTATTCTCCACCGATAATGAAGTCTATTGATCCTATTCCCCACGGATGATAAGTTCATTAAGCACCGATTTGGGCCAATTTATTTTCGGATGACATTTTCGTAATTTTTTAGGCTACGAAAGGCCATTTTCTTTGGATATTGAAGGCTACAGATCACAGACTCGGTCTGAGACTATTTTTCGACGATGATTGAGTCGATTAAGCACAGTTTTGGGCGGATTTATTTCGCGTCAATTTTTGGCAGATTCCAAAGGGGTATTTTCATAGATTTCGTGCGATTTTTCCAAAATGCCATTTCCTTTCGAATCTGGAGGCTACAGATCGTGGAATCAGGTTGAGGCTATTCTCCACCGATAATAAAGTCTATTGATCATATTCTCAACGGATGATAAGTCCATTAAGCACCGATTTGGGCCAATTTATTTTTGGATGACATTTTCGTAATTTTTTGTACGACGAAAGGCCATTTTCTTTGGATATTGAAGGCTACAGATCACAGATTCGCCCTGAGGCTATTCTTCAACGATGATTGAATCCATTAAGCACCGATTTGGGTCGATTTATTACGGGTTAATTTTTGGCAGATTCCAAAGGGGTACGATCATAAATTTTGGGCGATTTTTCCGAAATGCCATTTTTTTACGATTCTGGAGGCTACAGATCACGGAATCAGGCCGAGGCTATTCTCAACCGATAATGAAGTCTATTGATCATGTAGACAAACTGACTCAGCCTGACCCTCAGTTTCCGACATGTCGAGACAAGTCAGTGGGTCTCTAGGATAAAACTTACAACCCTACCACCAACAATGTTTCAGATAAGCACATATTCGAAATTGCGGAGAAGTGGTTAAGATCCATACATGCACCTCTTCCAACCACTCGGGTTAAAATCCATACATAGTCCTCTCTCAATAACAAAACTAGTTGGTTTATCAAACAAATAAGTTAAATGGTCAAGTAAAGTTCAAGAATATAGTTCTCTTCTCTGTTCTCAAGTTTCCTCACGGGTCAGTGCTGCTGTTCTTTGGGCAAGTTTAGGATAGATCCAAAACGTGGACAAGGCACAAAAGTTGCTTCACATCGTGACAGCTACGGCAGAAGATGTCCACGTACACTATATAAAGCCCATCTGATCTTCAAAGCAATTCGTCCCGATCTGCAGAAAAGAAAAATGTCGGTGTTCAATCTGCAGTCCGACAACCAGTTCATCCGAACCAACGATGGATCTCCGGACATCCACGTGTTCGAGTACATGGACGACCTGAACGCGTTCGACCTCATCCACGTCAGCAGCTCCAGGTGGCGTTCCTCCATCGCAGTGGGGCCCTCCGCGGCCGCGCTGTACAAGAAGCTGGAGGTCCACGGCGTGACGATAGAGGGCAGCCAGCTGCAGGAGCTGGTCAAAGATCTGAACTGGGTTGACCCGAACGGCCGGAGGCTCTTCCCGTCGGTCAACCGTCAAGGCCGCTGCCTCATGTACGTCGGATGCCAGCAGGTCACGCGGGTCAGGATCAGCGACCATTTCGGTTGGTCCAAGTACGGAGTCAAACCGGCCCAGATCTCGGTGTGGCCCGTATTTGGCATGATGGACGGCGCCGTTTTGGCCGTCCCTCGAGCGAGTCCTCCTCATGGTCACGATGATGGTGATCACGGGTACTTTTCGGTTGTGTGTGAGAGTTGGAAGAAGGTGATGGAGGAGAAGGACAAGGTCATCGAGGAGAAGAATAAGCTGGTGGAGAAGGTCGAGTCGTTGTTGATGCGGTCGCTTGAGGAGAAGGACAGAGTTATCGTGGAGAAGGAGAAGGTGATGGAGAAGATGGAGGCGTTGCTGAGGAAGTCACTTGAAGAGAAGGAGAAGGAGGTTCTTTCTCTCAAGGAAACGTTGATGGCCCTCAGTGATGAAGTCTGATTTGTCGTATAACCATTCTAGTACTGGTTTCATGTGTTGTATAGGTTTGTTTGTGCACATATATACTATTGACGTACTTATTATGTTATTTCTGTTAGGCAGTCTCGCTTAATCTAAGCCCATATTATTGTATTATTAATTAGCTAGCCCATTATTATTTATTATATGATGCATTTTATCGTATTTCGGATAAAATGTGGATAGCTCCATTTTCTTGGTAGGAGTAGGCCAGTGCTCTAGGTTTCGGGGCATGATAATATACCTTATCCTTAGAGTGAGTTCTAGGTTTAAATTATCCAAATCATAGAACCTAAACTCTAAGATTAAAGGATGGAAGCTATCAAGGTAATAAATAATTCCACATATAAAGACAATAGCCAAATTCATTTAAAATCCCGATAATACATTGCGTTATACATTGTATTATACAATTGAACCTAAGACCTCTTAGTTACTAACTAAGTTGCCAACCAATATGCTACTTGTATTTTTTGTCCATGCTATCAATAATATGGCTTTTATATTTGTTTTTTATGTTTTAATTTCTTCCAAATACGGTGATGATGGATAAAATCTAACTTTGGGGATTAGATAGCGTCACAACCCCTACAGTGGTTGTGATTTTTGCTTCCCCCTTCCTAGCCCTAGATCCTCTTCTTCTTGATTTGACGGCCGATATGCACCTCGGGCAAAAAGGAGAAGCGCCGCACTGCATCCGCTCACTCCACCCTCCATGCTGGATATGACATCTTCGGGTTTGAAAGGGAAAGATATTCAGAGCGTAATCAGCAACCTTCCCAGCAAAAAAACCGTTCGGTTGGTCATCATCCTACCAATAAACTATGAATCCTCTTCAATGTGCAGTGGTGGTCTTCTAAATAAAAAAATATTTTTTATATGTTAAATAAGCATACTTTTTATAACAAGTTTTGAACTGACATGAAACAAACTCTGAGAAACTGGGTGTGTGATAGTCTTCTATGTATAGAATTTCTTCCATATTACAAGTTGTGTTCAACTGCAAGACTTGCAACATTTTGGATTTTGTATTTACTTCAATTTGCAAACTCAATACCAAAACAACAAGAAAATACATGTGGGTGTAGCTTCGTGATTTACTAGATGTGTGCCAACTATTTTAGTGGATTGAAGTCTGATTTTAGTATCAAGTTATTAAGTTGTGAGTAATGTTTAAATCCTTTATCACTTCTTAAAAGAGTATTTGTTGAGTTTGCATCAATATGGTATAGTTTTATGTGATGTAAGTGTCGTGTATAGAGTAGAGTGAAGATAATAATAAAGGATCGAATCTAATCAAAAGTTACACATATAAAGACAGTAGCCAATTTTAAAATCGCGATAGTATATAACGTTGTACAAAGAGAGAGAAAAGTCGAACAAGAAACTAAATTAAAAATAATGCTAAATATATAAAGGAGAAACGGTAAGAGGCCTTTTAAAAGATAAGTTTTACGAAAAGAAAGAATTGAACCTAAGACCTCTCACTTGCAAAATAACTTGCCAACCAATTTGCTACTTGTATTATTTGTTCATGTTATTAAAAATATAGTTTTTATATTTGTTTTTTTGTTTTAATTTCTTTAAAATACGGTGATGATTGGTGAAATTTAACTTTGTCCCTGCCAATACACTATGAATCCTCTCTAGTGTGGAGCGGTGGTCTTCTAAATAAAAAAGTTTTTCATATGTTGAATATGCGTACTTTTTATTATAAGTTTTGTAGTGACGTGAAACAAACTCTGAGAAATCGGGCGAGTGCTAGTCTTCTAGGTATAGGATTTTTTTTGAAGTACAAGTTGTGTTCAACAGCATGACATACAAAATTTTTGATTTTGTAGTTACGTCAATTTGCAAACTCAATACCAAAGCAACAAAGTACATGTGGGTGTAGCTTCATGATTTATTAGATGTGGGCCAACTACTTTAGTGGAGTGAAGTCTGATTTGAGTGTCAAGTTTTTAAGTTGTGAGTAATATCTAAATCCTTTATTGCATTAATGTGGTATAGTTGTATGTGGTGGAAGTGTCGTGTATAGAGTAGAGTGAGAATGATAATAAAGGATCGAAGCAAATCAAAAGTTCCACATATAAAAACAATAGCCAAATTTAAAATCGCGATAGTATATCGCGTTAAAAAAAGAGGGAAAGAAAGTCGAACAGGAAACTACATTAAAAATAATGCTAAATATATAGAGGAGAAGCGGTAAGAGGCTTTTTAAAATATAAAGTTTGCGAAAAGAAAGTATTGAACCTAATACCTCTTCATTGCCAAATAACTTGCCAACCAATTTGCTACTTGTATTATTTGTTCATATCATTAAAATTATAGCTTTTATATTTGTTTTTTTGTTTTAATTTTTTTAAATACGGTGATGATTGGTGCAGTTTAACTTTGTCCCTGCCAATACACTATGAATTCTCTCCAGTGTGGAGCGGTGGTCTTCTAAATGAAAAAGTTTTTTATATGTTAAATATGCGTACTTTTTATGATAAGTTTTGTAGTGACGTGAAACAAACTCTGAGAAATCGGGTGTGTGCTAGTCTTCTAGGTATTGGATTTCTAGGTATAAGATTTCTTTTGAAGTGCAAGTTGTGTTCAACAGCATGACATACAACATTTTCGATTTTGTAGTTACTTTAATTTGCAGACTCAATACCAAAACAACAAGAAAGTACATGTGGGTGTAGCTTCATGATTTATTAGATGGGTGCCAACTACTTTAGAGGAGTGAAGTCTGATTTCAGTGTCAAGTTCTTAAGTTGTGAGTAATATCTAAATTCTTTATTGCATCAATGTGGTATAGTTGTATGTGGTGAAAGTGTCGTGTATAGAGTAGAGTGAGAATGATAATAAATGATCGAAGCTAATCAAAAGTTCCACATATAAAAACAATAGCCAAATTTAAAATCGCGATAGTATATCGCGTTAGACAAAGAGTGAAAGAAAGTCGAACAGGAAACTACATTAAAAATAATGCTACATATATAAAGAAGAAGCGGTAAGAAGCTTTTTAAAAGATAAATTTTGTGAAAAGAAAGTGGTAAGAAGCTTTTTAAAAGATAGATTTATCGAAAAGAAAGTATTGAACCTAAGACCTCTTAATTGCCAATTAACTTGCCAACCAATTTGCTACTTGTATTATTTGTTCATGTCATTAACAATATAGCATTTATATTTGTTTTTTTGTTTTAATTTCTTTTAAATATGGTGATGATTGGTGAAATTTAACTTTGTCCCTGACCATACACTATGAATTCTCTCCAGGGTGGAGCAGTGGTCTTTTAAATGAAAAAGTTTTTTATATGTTAAATATGCGTACTTTTTATGATAACTTTTGTCGTGACGTGAAACAAACTCTGAGAAATCTGGTATGTGCAAGTCTTCTAGGTATTGGATTTCTTTTGAAGTGCAAGTTGTGTTCAACTGCATGACATACAACATTTTTGATTTTGTAGTTACTTCAATTTGCAGACTCAATACCAAAGCAACAAGAAAGTACATGTGGGTGTAGCTTCATGATTTATTAGATGTGTGACAACTACTTTAGTGGAGTGAAGTCTGATTTCAGTGTCAAGTTCTTAAGTTGTGAGTAATATCTAAATCCTATATTGTCTTCTTAAAAGAGTATTTGTTAAGTTTGCATTAATGTGGTATAGTTGTATGTGGTAAGTGTCGTGTATATAGTAGAGTGAGAATGATAATAAAAGATCGAAGCTAATCAAAAGTTCCACATATAAAAACAATAGCCAAATTAAAAATCGCGATAATTTATCGCGTTAAACAAAGAGGGAAAGAAAGTCGAACAGGAAACTACATTAAAAATAATGCTAAATATATAAAGGAGAAGCGGTAAGAGGCTTTTTAAAAGATAAGATTTGCGAAATGAAAGAATTGAACCTAAAACCTCTTATTTGCCAAATAACATGCCAACCAATTTGCTACTTGTATTATTTGTTCATTTTATTAACAATATAGCCTTTATATTTGTTTTTTTTGTTTTAATTTCTTTTAAATACGGTGGTGATTGGTGAAATTTAACTTTGTCCCTGCCCATACACTATGAATTCTCTTCAGTGTGGAGCGGTGGTCTTCTAAATGAAAAAGTTTTTTATATGTTAAATATGCGTACTTTTTATGATAAGTTTTGTAGTGACGTGAAACAAACTCTGAGAAATCGGGCGTGTGCTAGTCTTCTAGGTATAGGATTTCTTTTGAAGTGCAAGTTGTGTTCAACAGCATGACATACAACATTTTCGATTTTGTATTTACTTTAATTTGCAGACTCAATACCAAAGCAACAAGAAACTACATGTGGGTGTAGCTTCATGATTTATTAGATGTGTGCCAACTACTTTAGTGGAGTGAAGTTTGATTTCTGCGTCAAGTCCTTAAGTTGTGAGTAATATCTAAATCCTATATTGTCTTCTTAAAAGAATATTTGTTAAGTTTGCATCAATGTGGTATATTGGTATGTGGTAAGTGTCGTGTATAGAATAGAGTGAGAATGATAATAAAGGATCGAAGCTAATCAAAAGTTCCACTTATAAAAACAATAGCCAAATTTAAAATCGCGATAGTATATCGCGTTAAACAAGGAGGGAAAGATAGTCGAACAGGAAACTACATTAAAAATAATGCTAAATATATAAAGGAGAAGCGGTAAGAGGCTTTTTAAAAGATAAATTTTGCGAAAAGAAAGAATTGAACCTAAGACCTCTTATTTGCAAAATAACTTGCCAACCAATTTTCTACTTGTATGATTTGTTCATGTTATTAAAAAAATAGCTTTTATATTTGTTTTTTTGTTTTAATTTATTTTAAATATGGTGGTGATTGGTGAAATTTAACTTTGTCCCTGTCAATACACTATGAATTGTCTCCAGTGTGGAGCGGTGGTCTTCTAAATGAAAAAGTTTTTTATATGTTAAATATGCGTACTTTTTATGATAAGTTTTGTAGTGACGTGAAACAAACTCTGAGAAATCGGGCGTGTGCAAGTCTTCTAGGTATAGGATTTCTTTTGAAGTGCAAGTTGTGTTCAACAGCATGACATACAACATTTTCGATTTTGTAGTTACTTTAATTTACAGACACAGTACCAAAGCAACAAGAAAGTACATGTGGGTGTAGCTTCATGATTTATTAGATGTGTGCCAACTACTTTAGTGGAGTGAAGTCTGATTTCTGTGTCAAGTTCTTAAGTTGTGAGTACTATCTAAATCCTTTATTGTCTTCTTAAAAGAGTATTTGTTAAGTTTGCATCAATGTAGTATAGTTGTATGTGGTGGAAGTGTCGTGTATAGAGTAGAGTGAGAATGATAATAAAGGATCGAAACCAATCAAAAGTTCCACTTATAAAAACAATAGCCAAATTTAAACTCGCGATAGTATATCGCGTTAAACAAGGAGGGAAAGATAGTCGAACAGGAAACTACATTAAAAATAATGCTAAATATATAAAGGAGAAGCGGTAATAGGCTTTTTAAAAGATAAATTTTGCAAAAATAAAAGAATTGAACCTAAGACCTCTTATTTGCAAAATAACTTGCCAACCAATTTGCTACTTGTATTATCTGTTCATGTTATTGAAAATATAGCTTTTATATTTGTTTTTTATGTTTAATTTCTTTCAAATACGGTGATGATTGGTGAAAGTTAACTTTGTCCCTGCCAATACACTATGAATCTTCTCTAGTGTGGAGCACACGCCCGATTTCTCAGAGTTTGTTTCACGTCACTACAAAACTTATCATAAAAAGTACGCATATTTAACTAATAAAAAACTTTTTCATTTAGAAGACCACCGCTCTACATTGGAGAGAATTCATAGTGTATTGGCAGGGACAAAGTTAAATTTCACCAATCATCACCGTATTTAATAGAAATCAAAACAAAAAAAACAAATATAGCCGATTTCTCAGAGTTTGTTTCACGTCACTACAAAACTTATCATAAAAAGTACGCATATTTAACTAATAAAAAACTTTTTCATTTAGAAGACCACCGCTCTACATTGGAGAGAATTCATAGTGTATTGGCAGGGACAAAGTTAACTTTCACCAATCATCACCGTATTTGAAAGAAATTAAACAAAAAAAAACAAATATAAAGGCTATATTTTTAATAACATGAACAGATAATACAAGTAGCAAATTGGTTGGCAATTTATTTTGCAAATAAGAGGTCTTAGGTTCAATTCTTTCTTTTCGCAAAATTTATCTTTTAAAAAACCTCTTACTGCTTCTCCTTTATATATTTAGCATTATTTTTAATGTAGTTTCCTGTTCGACTATCTTTCCCTCCTTGTTTAACGCGATATACTATCGCGATATTAAATTTGGCTATTGTTTTTATAAGTGGAACTTTTGATTAGCTTCGATCCTTTATTATCATTCTCACTCTACTCTATACACGACACTTACCACATACCACTATACCACATTGATGCAAACTTAACAAATATTCTTTTAAGAAGACAATATAGGATTTAGATATTACTCACAACTTAAGGACTTGACACAGAAATCAGACTTCACTCCACTAAAGTAGTTGGCACACATCTAATAAATCATGAAGCTACACCCACATGTAGTTTCTTGTTGCTTTGATACTGAGTCTGCAAATTAAAGTAACTACAAAATCGAAAATGTTGTATGTCATGCTGTTGAACACAACTTGCACTTCAAAAGAAATCCAATACCTAGAAGACTTGCACACGCCCGATTTCTCAGAGTTTGTTTCACGTCACTACAAAACTTATCATAAAAAGTACGCATATTTAACATATAAAAAACTTTTTCATTTAGAAGACCACCACTCCACACTGGAGAGGATTCATAGTGTATTGGCAGGGACAGTTAAATTTCACCATTGATCACCGTATTTAAAAGAAATTAAAACAAAAAAACAAATATAAAGGGTATATTTTAAATAAAATGAACAAATAATACAAGTAGCAAATTGTTTGGCAAGTTATTTGGCAAATAAGAGGTCTTAGGTTCAATTCTTTCTTTTCGCAAAATTTATCTTTTAAAAATCCTCGTACCGCTTCTCCTATATATATTTAGCATTATTTTTTATGTAGTTTCCTGTTCGACTTTCTTTCCCTCTTTGTTTAACGCGATATACAATCGCGATTGTAAATTTGGCTATTGTTTTTACATGTGGAACTTTTGATTAGCTTCAATCCTTTATTATCATTCTCACTCTACTCTATACACGACACTTACACCACATACAACTATACCACATTGATGCAAACTTAACAAATACTCTTTTAAGAAGACAATAAAGGATTTAGATATTACTCACAACTTAAGGACTTGACATTGTTGATAAATTTGCGTGAAAAGTATAACAACTTAGTAATGTATCAAATACTACCAAAAAAGAAAATTGTATCAATTGTATAAGTGGATGGACCCATCATATTTAATTGTATAAATCACAATGGAAATGGCTTAGTTATATCCGTCAGATTAAATTGTACAAATCACTATGTACTAATCTACTAACTCATCCCATTTATATATCAAAATTTATGCATGCCCTAGTTTGCACGTTGATATAAGTGATCTCTATGAAGATCGAAAACTCTAGACAAGGGATCGAGTTTCGCTATGATACCATGAAGAATTTTACTACGCGGAAGATCGAAAGAACACGAGACAACGAGTTTTACGTGGTATCCCTGTTTGTCGAACATGACTAGTCCACGGTGAGCTCGAAAGAGCTTACGACTGATTTCTGATTAGGTTTACATTTTGACGGCTTGCTTACGACAGGTTCGTAGCTAAGTCTTATATAGAGATAGACTAGGGTTAAAACCCTAACGAGAAGAGTCGAGTGCGGCCAAGTATCCATACCTACTACAACTCGGACAAGGCCCAATACTAATACAGTTTAAGTAACCGCAACACTCTAAATACCCTGGAACCATAAATTATACACCTTCAGCATATGTCATTTGTGTTACACAATGGTCAATGATTTCTATGTAACATTTATTCATAACCCATAGAATCATCCCAACTGCAATTTTGCTGGCCGGCTGATTAATGGCTGACGACGGCAAAGACAAGAAGTCAAGAACTATGGAGTTGGGGGTTTTTCCATTAATGATGAAGACAATTCATGGAACTGCCATTAGCTAGGTGCAGGGTGCAGTTCTTAGGTGCCAAGCAACAGTTGCAGGCTGGCCTTAGATGTTCATCAGTACTGTTGTTACTCGACGACGACGACGAGTTATTGCAAGTCATGTACGCCACATCCAAGCAGTACATAGGGCAAATTCTAGCTGCTCTGGCTGCTTCCCCACCTTCCATGGCTAAAAAAAACCCTGCAGTTCCCCACAAAGACAAAACCGTTAGTCAAAGAGACAAGGTTGGCATTTAGTTTTGTTCCAACCCTAGTAATCTGTAATATAATAACCGTGGCGCTTTCAGAAATATGAACGAGAGGCTGATTTGAACCGTGGCAGCTGGTAAGTGTTAGAGAATGGTATAAGATCTAGCATAACCTTCTTCCAACAACTCGAGTTATTGGGAGCAACTGGTTCTTGACATGGTATCAGAGCTGGTTTGGCCAAATGGTCGTGTGTTCGAATCTCCACGACCCCCAATATTAACCGTCGTCTTTCAAGCACATGGTATGGTGGGCTTGTGCAAACTTCAAGCCCATGGGTTGGCTTTCGTTTGAGGGGGCGTGTTAGAGAATGGTATAAGATCCAGCATAACCTTCTCCCAACAACTCGAGTTATTGGGAGCAACTGGTTCTTGATAGTAAGGGGGGCTAACGACTTACTGACTGCTCTATTTTCTAAACTTGTATGAGCTATACCCCTTCCGATCGACTTCAACCTAGCTTCACCACTAATTATACGAAATTAGGCTATGGTTCTAGAGCATGTAAGGGCGCTAGAACGTTTTACTAATAAGTTAATGGTTGTTGGATCGATCATGCGTTCCACGCGATCTATGTTGTCTTAGATATACATGTGACAATTTGTTTACAAAATAACCACTAGCTAGAATGCATTCAAAGGTCTAGAACGTACTAACTCCGATGGACAATCGATCAGGACGCGCTAGAAGAAATAGAAGGGTTTTGTTACGTACCGATGCAGAAAATCAGAAGGACAGCAGCAGCAGCAGCAACTCTGTGAGGTGCAAGGGAAGCCATGAATGATCGCTGCTTCCTCTTTTGTGGGTTGATGCAGAGTGTAATGGCTATATTTATATATGGGAAGAAGTAATCAAAATCAAAACGGTTGAAGAGCTTACTTTTACTTGACTTCTTTGCAATTTTGCATGATTGGTTATGGGAAATGGAATATGTCAACAAAATCGGCCAAAGACCACATATTATATAGTCAGTCAACACCCAAAAGGAATGCATTTTTCTTGGTCTTGACTCTTGAAATAAGTTCAATAGCCCACTTTCACTCAATTTCAGTTACAAGTTAACTACAAATATGCGTCAGATAAGTCATAATCGTGATCGTGAAGTATATTATTAAATAATATTAGTACCATTTAGCTTCGAATACGAATAATATTTTTTTTTCTAGATATGCTTGAGTTTGAGAGGTTAAATATAGAAGCAATGAAGCTAGAGATGTTGCGGTAGATTAGGTGATTAATCCAATTTCTCAGTCAACTTGCACTCCAAATATACACAAATTTCTCAGTCAAGCATATATTTTAGGACCAGATCTTGATGGCTATGTCATGACTTTCATTGTGACCAATCTTCTGTTTTCTTCTTTTGATAGTCCAATGGTTAGCTTTGGGATAATTTAACTCTTTAATTTGTGGCAAATGGGGATTAAATTCGAGTTAGATAAGACGGCAAACAATACAGTTCTACTTTTTTGCTAATATCATCCACGATTATGATAATATATAAGTCATTATCTAGTATAATCATACAACGTAATAAACGATCGATCACGTAACAAATTTAATATAGAGAAATTGAATCCAGATTAAAAATAAATCTCAACTCAAGTCGTAATTTGGAGAGAGAAAAATTGGCTAACCAAGTCCAACTTGTTGGCCCATGGGCTTTGAGAGCCCAATTATTATGTCTCTTTTTCTCCAGTCCTATCCTTCATCACCACCATTCACCATATACTAATTTTTGTTTTGTTCTCTCTTTCTTTATTTCTTGATCTGGATTAACTACTTCAAGTTTTCCCCTTTTTCCCAATCTTCTTCCTCTTATTAGATCACTAATTGCATCCATCCTCTCTTAATCAGATCACTAGTTTCTTTGATCCCTCAGCCCTACAGTACTCCATTCCTCAGGTAACTCACTTTCCTGAAACATTAGTTCATATGTTCCTATTAATTTTTATAGCAAATCTCGATCTCTTCTATACTTTTCCACTATACTTTTCCACGATTTTAATTCTCTTTTTCCCTTAGCAGCATTATATTTTTCAAAGCCGAAGCGCGAAAAGTACAATGCTTTTCATTTCAAAACCAATCGAGATACGAAAATTAATTTTTTTGACAAACATACACAGATCCAGTATTGTAACACCGGATCGAAAAGTGAAAAATGCAATGAATAAAAGCATTATTAATAATTTGGTTAAATTTTGTCGGGTTTTTTTCTTTCTTTCTATGTAGGGTATCGAGAAAGAATCCATTAATGGATCCGATGAGAAGCCAAGGAGGGATTCAGATGCTGCTCTCCGCGGAGCAGGAAGCACAACAGATTGTGGCCGCTGCTAGAAACTGTAAGCCAACATATCTAATCTTCTCTTACGATGAGATCAATGTAGTCAAAAGTACGATATTATGTAGAATTGTGTTGGTGAACTAAAAGCGTAAAAGCGTAAGTTTTTTACCTTTAAAGCGTGCTTTTGACTACGATGGATGAAATGATATAACATCAAGTGATTTCCGAACCGTATAGTGAAGTTGTCGAGGTTGAAGCAAGCAAAAGACGAAGCAGAGAAGGAAGCCACGAGGTATCGCTCGCAACTCCAAGCCGACTTCCAAAAAAAAGTATCCGAGGTTCGTACCTAAGAAATTGATTTGCTAAGAAGGCAAATTGTTTAACTTATAAATGCGTCAGAGAAACTTTATTGTTTAGGGATCACTTTAAGATAGGTATGTTTTGTCGAATGAAGTCCAAACCACGATTCTACGTAGAAGTATTTTTAGTGACCTAGAAGCGTAAAAACCTAAGGGTTTTAAAGCTTTAAAGAGTATATTTTAACTACACTTAGAAGCGTTTTGGTGATCTAAAAGTGTAAAAACATAAACTTTTAAATTTTAAAGCACGATTTTGACTACATTGGTTGTCGTATAGGGGAATTCAGCTGCGACGGCAAAACAACTGGAGCAGGAAACGGTGAAGAAGATTGAGAAGCTGAAGCAGTCATCTTCCAAGGTGCAATCTGAACTGGTTGACATGCTTGTCAAATTTGTTACCACTGTCAAGAATTGAAATTTCCCCCCTTCCTTTCTCTCTGAATCCCCAAACAGGTTCGTTGTGTCTCTCTTTGCTCCTTCTCCTTCTAGTCTTTTTTTACCTACTTGTTTTACTTATCTACTTCTGTTTTTCTTTACCTTCTTTACTTTTTTTACAGCCACAAATATGACATGGGACTGAAGTCGGAGGACAGTAAGCAGACATCTATAGCAAGCAAAGTTGAAGAGAAATTGGGGGCATGACCCTACTTCCATTTGACTCTCTCGTAGATTAATAATTCAGCTTGGTTTGGCGAATTTGTACCTGAAAATTCCACCAATATTGTTTGGGATGCATTTGATTTTCTTTCAACCCAATTCATTTTTCTGCAATTTGGAATCGTTTTATATTCCGCCCATCTGTTAAGTCTACGGAGAGCCAATGTTTCACATACTGGTTAAATCACATATAAATATGTTAAATACGTGTTACATCAAGACTCACATACCAATACGAAGTTGCTACGATGTTATGCTTGTACATGGTGAACTTTCAATACAGTTTCTCAAACATATTGGTAAAACCCAAGGAGAAACATTATCTGCAGAAAGTAGCATCTTAACCTCTATCCATAAAACCCAAAAGAAGAGCAATGAACTACTAAAGCTGTACATATTCAAAGCATTATGGAGCTATTTACCACTGAATTGACTACAGCAAAACAGGATTGTTCAGGAACAGCTACGAGCTTAGGACAATTCAATTCTTCACGTTGGCACCAACATTCATATGGGTCTTTACAACAAAAAGACTATATCTTCCTGAACAACAAATCTATATGTACAGTAAGAAAGGAACCCAGAAGCATTTTTCAACTTCCAGGCCAAATTCAACAAAAGTGAACATTGGATGGGTACCAGAAATAACCCAGTTTTCTCCTGCCCTACGATTACGAGGTGGGGTTAGCTTCCCTTGGCATTGTAGTTACTGTTAAGCGCCCTACGCAGACTGAAACACTCGCCTTGGTTGCCGCTCAAAGAACGCTTCTCCAGGCAGCAAACAGTCAGTTGCCTCACTACCCTCTCGAGATACGACTGCAAGCAGCCTTGTAAGTCCTTTACGTTCGGATTCGTCAGCAACACCATGGCGTTTACTGTGTCTGCAACGGTCTCTCGCTGCGTGCCTTCTAGGAGATAGCCCACTGCTGATTGCAGTGGCTCCTCGTATGCTAGCAAGGCTACACAATCCTGCAGGAGCAACAAACACCGTACATAACCTTTTAGACGAGGCACTCTGCATTAAGTTCCCAATCCGTAGCAATATAACTAACATGAAGCAGCCAACTTTTTAAGGTACCTGAACAAGATCATTGTACCCTGGCAACTCAAAGAACTTCGCTAATTCCATTCTTCCATAGTTTACAGCTTCCTCTAGTTCACCAACCTTAAAAGCACATCGCCAACAAAAATACATGAAAATTAGCACCAGCCAAATGGGAATCACGTAGACATTTTCCATAAGTTCAATAAGTTCACAAATTGGTGCCATCAAAACTGCAAGAAAGAACTTCTAATGCTAACATAAAAGAAGCACGGCTATACTAAAATCCCAAACATATATACTTTTTCGCGAGTCTATAATTCTAATATTCGTAAACAAAAAAAAAATTCTAAAAGCAGTGGCATCCTGCTGACTCTACGAGAAAGATATATTTGAAGTGTTTAGAATATCCAGATTTTGCAGAAAGAACTTACCCGAACCAATTCAATGAATTTCTGACAGTGGAGCAGAAAACAAGTTGCTGACTTGTCATCCTGCAAAAGGTAGTCTGGCTATTACGGTGAAGACCAAGACAAAACAGTATCTTAGTGTGTACAGCGAGCCATAATCCGCATTATCATTTACAAACCATATAAATGTGCAAAAGAAAAAAGCCCTGTTTCAGATAATAGTTCAATCTAAAATGCAGGAAAACAGATGTTAAATATTTTGGGATCAGAATATCGATTATGTTTGTTTGGGATGTTCGATCAAAAGAGTGTAACTGTACATTAAAGATCAATGATACAAAGAGGTTCATTTTATGAACTTCTAGTCAAACTTGTTCACCAACATTAACTTCAAAGGCAGTATGATGAAAAAGGGGAACAAAACAAGAAAGCCACAAAATACTTCTCTATCTTTTGGACAAAGCTACTTCACATACTCAAGATGAAAGTGAACCGAATCTCTGCAGAAAAGAAGTTATTACATGGTATATACCTCAAGAATCTGGGGAAACCACTGACGAATCTTGTTGATTGCTGCATCAATCTCGCCATTTCTGATTAGCTTCATTGAGCAGAGAATAAAAGTCAACAACTCAATATACGAAGAACTGCAAGAAAGAAAGAAAGGGCCTTCTAAGAAGGATAATGAAAACAATATCAGGGACAGTCAATCACAGATTTGGTTGCATGGGTTAAGTGCCAAGGAATTGTGTACATTTGAAACAGTTAGAGAAACATTGGTATGGTATTTCAATCATTACAATGAAGAGAACTATACCAGTTTTAAAAAAGAACTGCTTTGTTATCTCTTATGCATACATAACAAATTACTAGAGGAGCTGTTCACGCTCACAAGATGAACTGCCACAACTAATATTTTAGACCAACAAAGCTACATAAAAATAAAGGTGACAGGGTCAAAGCATTTAGTACCTGTCTAAGCTCTCTTCTCTGATTTAATGCATACATTATGTCTTGCACATCAGAGCCATTTTCCTGAGACATGGATATTGGAGGAACTGTATTCTTAGTAGCCAACTCAAATGAATTGAGAGTTTCTTCATATCCATAATGCAGCAAGTACGACCGGACGAGTCTGCTCAAATAATTACAAACAACAATGATGTATTAGCCTAGAAAATCAGGCCAGAAAGCAACTTCTTTCAAACAGGAATAAAATCCAATTCAATTTCCTTCAAATGAATGAATTATCCAGAAATTAATTGGACTTGTATATTGAAGCAGTTATCTCATTAAGCATGGAAGCCTGCTATTTTCTATTTGCAGATCGCCAATCGAATGTCGCAACAAGTTTTCCCTCTTGTAAATGGAAGAACTTAACAGGGAAAATCACAAACTTTAAGCATAAACAAAATAACTCCTTGCCAAAAGTGATTCCCTTTTCTCTAGACTTCACAGCATATAGCAGTTGTTTTCATAATGTGAAGTGAACTTACTTGTAGCTGGCATTTGGGGATAAAGGTGTTTTATCAATTCTTAAGTGTTGCTTCATCCTTTCCAGTCTTTCATATTCCTAATCAAAGGGAAACACAGGTAAGAAAGGCGATATATGTAGTAACCAGCAATTGCCCCTAGAAAGGAAAATCCAACAAAGTACAGTGACTTGAATGCTAAAAGCTTCAACTGAACACCAGAGAATTCAGGAATCTATCCCTAGAGAAAAATCTATAAAAGTCTACTAACCGCACAAACTAACAAAGACCAGACCAGTGTAGCAAGGAGCTTAAAAAATATCCGCGAGTATAACAACTTTGTAGATATATTCGTTTTTTTCTGCATGCTCCACACATTGGAGCAATAACGAGTGAGCACCAATAAGTATCCACGAATACTCAAGTACATAGATTAGCAGAGTCAATTGGCGAGTACACTATGACCAATGTTTTTCCCTCATTAATTACAAATGTCATCATACAAACACTTAAGTTAATCCAACAGAAGCACGGTAAAGAAGAAAAGAACGAGCAACTTGCCTTGATATCAAATGCAAATTGCTTTTGGCCAAAATTAACTTCAATCCTGAGAGAGTGAGAGCAAAAATGAAAATGAGATTGCTGGATCTCTCACATAATGATAAAACTAGTTCCAATGAAAACTTATGAGAATAAGAGCAGCAGCTAATAATTGAGTTTACACTTAAAAATAGGACTGAAATCAATCACAAGACACAACTGTAAGACTTCTTCGACATTCATTGCCTAAAAGGCAAGAATATTAGAATGAAGTGTCAATGATCAATGTTTGTTCCTGGAACGAAAGTAGCCATACCAATTACCAGGTCCAGAACAATGAGGATTATTGGTGGTTAAGAAAGTACGTAAAAAAGAAATTGCTTCATAAATCAGAAAGGCATGATAGCTGACTCTTTCATCAACTAATTAGCACACTGGCACCACCTTTTATCTTTCTCCTTCATCGAAAGGAGAAAGTTCGCCAAAAAAAAAACCCCAACAAGAACATTAGCTGCCATCCATCAAGGACTAGTTCAATTATCCTTCTAGAGTAACAAAACATCAGTCCCAAAAAAAACTATACAGCCAATATTAAACCTCCCACAAAAGTAGCGAAGGGCATAAATAATTCAGTAGAAATACTGGAAAGGTTACATACTCCTCATTCTGGCTGTGAACAGCAACTGTAGGGAATAAGGCACCCGTGATCTCCTTTTTGACTGCTCCAACAATTGCTCCATTTTTACTGACACCAAGATTACAAGGATTCCAAAAAGGAACAGAGTGTGATGTCTTGAAGTAAAGTCATAGTTTAGAGATATCAGAAATCTATAGAGCATCCACTCGGCTGACTGGGAAAAAGTATAAAGGGAAAATTTCTTACGTAAAAAAGAACTCCTGTGAACCATAGTTAATACCAGCGCCAACAGTATCATTGGTTGTAAATGTTGGTCCAAAAGGCTGTCCCTTTCCATGACCATGATAAAGATGGCCGTCATCCCCATGATACCCACAAGTGTTAGCTTCCCACCTATAAATTGGAAACAAATAAGTTCTATGAATAATGAAGCACAGAGCAACCAGCACGGAACACTACATCAGATGAAACTAAAGACTGAAACTTTTTTTTTATATAACTCCACACCATCGGCTTCATCTACATATGGGAATGATTGTTACTGCGGAGAAGGTTAACTAATGCATCCTAAAAGAACTCTGATCATTCTTCTTGCCAAGAAAATAACTGAAGTTCTGCTGAGAATACTGCCCGATAAGCACCTAAATTCTATCAATGACAGTGGAACATGCACCCCCTAATGATTGGCGATGTACTCTCTTTTAGTCCTGTTTTCTCAATCACATAGAACGTAAGATTCTATGAGCAGGAAAAGCAGCACCTATATGTAGCAAAGATGAGAGGGACCAAATTCCCTACATAATACAAGCAGAGATAATTGCACTGGGTTCTTTGCTCGTCACTATAATCCACCTAGGTTTGCAAGATGGTAACTTGGGCTTATTTCTCAATCAGAATGATTACCCCTGTCAAGGATACTTGTATTTTCGTTGCTCCTTCACTCAATTTCATGAATCGCCATCCTAGACAGGAACCCCATTGACCAAATTCTTTAGTAAATGGACTATCACGAGCTGTGCACAACATTAACAAACACTTCTCCCATCCTCATAACTTGTGCCCAATAGTTACTTGCCACAATCAACAAGTATAATTACTCAATCGAGAATCTTTACTCCCCTAAAGTACTATCAAGACCACAGAATTTGGTTCCTCTTTCAACCAAACAGATCCTTTTAGCTAGATCATAAACTTATCACTTCCAACTGAATCAAGATCAATCGCTAATGAATCTCCCATATTCCCACAAATACCCTCAACACAAAAAGCACTCAAGATTATATTACCCGGGCTGCCTCCTCATCTTGAAAGTCTCGTTAGTGAATCCAATAGCGAACTGGCCCCTCGCACCAGCATTCTTCACATACATCTCAAAGTAATACACGAGCCGCTTGACTGGAGCCGGCTTGTTCGCCTGGACAGCTCCGACGTCGTGCCCGTGGAGATTGACATTGGTGTACTTCACCGAGAGCTTATCCGTCGACACCACCACGAATCCACCGGAGCTGTTAATCGTGTTGAGCTCCGTCGGGACATCTTCCCGCTCGTATTCCTCATCCGCCCCGCCCGTCAACCCCTCCGGCGGAGGCGAGCCCTGCCGCGCCAGTGCGAGGAAGTAAGAAGCGGGATCTTGTTGGTTGGTGGTGTTGCCATTGTTGCTGAGATTGCCGGCAGTGGCGGTCCTGTTAGTCGCGGCGCTCATTTTCTTCTGCTTCTTGCTATTGCGTCACAAGAAGTTGTAGAGGATTTTCCGCTTCTTTGCTTCAATTGATTGCTTTCATGGTGGAATTCAGAGCTTCGGATGGAAGGAAGAAATGACTGATGAAGTAATTGGGGGAAAGTGAAAGAAGAGAAAGGGAGAAAAACGAAGTTTCGGGGCCTTGTAAGAAACTGAACTCCAACAAACCGCAAACCAACTGCAATTGTTTCATTGGCGGGGTGGTACTTATAGTTTTGGATTATGGACAATTTGGTCCTGGCATTTTGTGGAATATTATGCATTATTATTAACGTTATTCGATTAAGCATGGTCTATCTAATTCAGAATTGGAACAAATTGGTTCAGGACTGAATCGATAAATAAATGAAAGATGCGAATAAGGAAATGCTCTCGTCCTTTGTCGGAAGTACTCCTGGAAAACAATGCATTTTACTCTGTATGGAGTATAGATCTCATTAATAGGAATTTAAAATTTTGTACTTCACAATGCATGATGTACTTGTATTAGACACAACTTGTCAGTAACAATTGAATTCATTTTTGAGATCTCCAATCTATTGATTGGGTTATCGTCATGTGTAAGTCTAACTCATCGTTTTATGAGTTCTAGTCGCACTCTCTTGAGAGAATCATAACATTGGATATTGAGATACTCGTACCTCCCATCCCGTTCCACTGCAAGTCAAACGAACCCGAGTCCAAATGTCCAACTACTCTGAGTCTGATCCATCAGACAGATTCTCCAATAAAGCACCCGAGCTGGCTTATGTTGGGGTTGGATATGGAAAGTATCACGAGCCCAATCAGCAATGGGCCTGGTCTTAAAGCTTGTAAGTATACCTGGCAAATGAGAGCCCGACCTGTTGACTCGATCCGAACCTACCCGAAAAATAAAGAATGGGTTGAGGTCTTCAAGCTTGATGATGAAAAATTCTGATTTGTGTTACCTGCACTACTTAAAAGGAGAAATTTGAAGTTGGAACCAAAGCAACTGGTTTTGGCAGTAGCGAGAACAAGGTAAGCTCGATCAACCAGTACTTATAACTTCCGGTGAAGCGCGATAGAATTGAGTTCATTACAACACAGGAAGACTAGAACAAGAAAAAAAACAACCAATCGTATACCATTACCGGCATAAAAATTTTCTTTCATCAATTCAGCTGCCCTGTGATCTGTAACAATATTGTCTCGAGGAGGCTCTCTGGAGATCAACTGTCGTCATCATCTATTATCATCTCCCTGTTGTCGTAAACCGGTATTACCCCACAAGTCTCCACAATGACTGGTACTTCAAATAAACTGCCCATGGCCTGAAAGACGAATTTAATGGTGGCATCATCTGTAACTGTGATCTCCAGACCTGCGGAAGAAGAATCCAGAGGTACTAAAACCTCCCTTATCCAGCTAACCTCAGAATCATACCATATTAATAGGTTACTTCCCCGATTATCTTCTGAATCAAGGTTATTCCAATACACTAGAACTGGCTCGGAAGAACTCGCAGTTATGACATCCCCCCCGCCAGTGCTAGACAAATTGTGACAGCGAACTCTGAATTCAGCATATGAGGTAGTAAGGATAGGTTGATGGACAAGTTCGTAATGGAATGAAGCACAATATATTAGTCCCTTCAACTGCCAAAGGCGACCAAGTGTGGCTGTCACCACTGAATTAAGCCCAGAAGGCCTCCATCCATCACGACTATTCCAACCTCTGGGAAGTAAGAGCCATGGACGATTCTTTTTCTTACGCGCACCCAAGGCATCTTGAGTGAACTGCAAATGAATTTGATATGATCTAATGATATCCGAGCATCAACTAAAATTCAAAAGAGTGAATAGATCTAGTACCTTGTTGAAAAGCATGCTGCACACATCTGAATCCAGCTTTCCACAGTTTCCAAAATTCCATTTACACATCAAGAAGTTATGTTTACTCAAGCCGCTAGTTGACATGGTTTGAAGTGCGGTGCAATCATATGCGTTCAACCATGTCAAGGATGAAGGAAGCTCCGGTAAGTGACTGAGTTGACTGCAACCAGACAACTCGAGGCGGTACAATTTGGATAGCTTGTGAATGGTGCCGCAGAGGTGTTTGAGACTTGTGCAATAAGGGAGATACAGTTCTTCCAAGCATGCGAGATCTCCAATGGTGGCTGGCAGCTCTTGGATTGCGGTACAGGACAGACTAAGCTGTTTCAGTTGTACCAGATTGGAAATGCTATCTGGAAGTCGTGATAGATTGGTGCACCCATATAGATGAAGATGTGATAAAGCTTCCATGGGCACCAAGATTTCTGGAAGTTCCTTCAGCCGGATGCAGTCAGATAAATCGATCTCAACAAGAGCTTTCGACTGAAAAATTAGATCACATAAATGAACAAGCTCTTGATCATTGGCCGAAATTTCGCCACACCCCGTTAACTTCTCCAGCTCCTCCAACTTCTGGTTTTGAATTGATGTCCCCCTTAGGTTCAATCGTTCTAGTTTTGGAAAAATGGCAGCAGTAGCCCAATCATCGTTCTTGTTGACATCTGTGTAATATCCCAATGCATTCAACTCCAAGCTGGTACAGTTTTCTAAATCGAGGACTTCTAGTTTGGGCAGATGCAAAATCGATAGAGGAAGCTCCACTAAGCCTACACAAGAACTAAGAATGATTTTTTCCAGTCTTTTAGCCGTAGAGAGATCAGGCAACTTCTTCAAGTATTTGGATTCGCTTAGATCAAGGAACTTCAAATTTCTTAAATCCTGCATGTCGATAATAAGATAGGCTTAAATATTGAAAAGCAAACAAAGGGATAAAAGAGATATATCTCACACAAAAACACAAAAAATTTATACGAACCACATTCTTCATGTCGTCCCAAAGTCGTTCTACGTTGCTTGAAAGCAAAGACAGTGTCGTAAGATTCTCCGGACAAAATTCATATGGTAAACATCTCATTGGGAATGAGTCCCACCTAAGAATTACCAATGAATTCGGTAGGCATCTCAAACCGTCTTTAGAAAGAACCAATTTTCTGTCAGATTGACGTATCACAAGGTATCTAAGATTTTCCAACTTCACAAAAGCATCAGATTGCATGTGTATTGTTGCCTCTTTCCCTGACCCGCCCCTGGGTATATCCCAACGAATACCTCTGGTGACTTCACTTCCCTGTTCAATGAAAGAAATAACAATGAAAATTTACTCAACATTTAGCTCATTTGTATATATAGTAAACGAGATAATAATTACTCAACAGAGGTTATGTGTCATTAGTTTAGCATTGAATTGGAATAGTGTTTACTCTGTCCACGTACCTTGCCTTGTTTAAAGAAACTATATATGTCTTGAGCTTCAAACAGCCACGAACGTTTTTCAAGTCGGAGCTTTTCATTGACAAAGCTACGGCCCAAATCAACCAGCAACCCATGCATTTTTACGGAACGATTATAAAAAACATTGACGGCTGTTAACATAGACTTGTCAATAAATTTAGTAATAATGTTTTCACTCCCACCATGTTCAACATAGTTTCCATCCAATAGTCTTTCCAACTCCTTGACAAAAACCTGGGATCGACCATAAAGACATGCAATATCAAGGAATACATTTTTCTCTATTTGACCTAGCCCATCATAAATCCTCCGAAAGACTTTTTCAAGACTTTGATTTGGGTGACGCTCCAAGGCTCTCAACTCGATACCCCAAAAGTTTTGGTCCCTGCCATACAAATGCGACCCTAAAGTAGTGAGAGCTAAGGGGTTACCCTCCGCATAAGTGAGAGCTCTCTTGGACCACTCCTCATACTCGATTGGAGGACAATGCTCTTTGAATGCACTGAGGCAGAATAACAGTAGAGCTTCATGTTTATCAAGAGCCGACACTTCATAAACGTAATGACACACGTTCTTAAGCACTTGTTTGTTCCTGCTTGTCAGGATAATTATACTTCCCGGTGCAAATAAGTCACAATATCGTCCGTTAAACAAATTGTTCAAGTGTCTGATGTCTCCAACATCATCGCCCACATCATCGATGACAACCAAAGCCCTCGTACGGCCAAGCCGATCGTCTTTCAAATCTCGAGATATTCTCCCTGCATTCTCATCACCCAACAATCTAGAGAAGAAATCATTCTGCAAGCCATCACGCAAATGCGATGAAGCACTTAATTGGTCTGAGAAGTCACTCCAGAAATAAAAAACATCGAATTGACTGGAAAATCTATCATAGAAAGCCTTCGCAAGAGTTGTCTTCCCGATGCCACCGGTCCCCCACAGTCCTATAGTCAAATTTTTACTCCCACTAGTTACCCACTGTTCGATCTCATTCATCCTCCTCTCTATTCCCACCAAACCCACATTGGAATATGAAGCCGGTACCATTTGAGCGGATAGAGCTTGTAACACAGCTCTACAAATTTCCTCAATCAGTTTTGATTCAGGTCTGGGAAAAGAAATAGCTATTTAGCAAAACAAATCAAGTATTTCTATTTCTATCGAATTGGATACTTACTACGTTATGAGAAAAGTTAAGTACAAAATACTTATGTAGAATTTACTTTGTCTCTAAATTAATGTTATATTTAATAGTACGTTAATAGTTATAAATATATAAAATTAATTATTTTAAAAATAAATAATAATAAAATTAGCAATTTAGTTAATAAAATAGAGATATTTAAACCGATAAAATGTGTATGATACATGTAAATGTAATAAACAGAGTATTTATTGACTATGGTTTCGAGAAAAGAAATAGCTATTCAGCAAAACAAAGCAAGTAGTTCTATTTCCATCGAATTAGATACTGCTACGAAAGAAACGAGAAAAAAATTACGCAAAGCATACCTGGTAACTCGTGAGTCGAAGCCCGAAATGGCGGCTGCCTTAGTCAAAGCAGCTCTCCAGCTCCGAATTTTGCCATCCGCCTCCCCCTTCGGAAGCTTCCGGTAGCTTCCAGTTTGATTTTCGACATGAGAAGGATCCACGCCCCCGTAGAACACCGGAACTACCCGCCGCCCGTACCGTTGACAGCAGTCGAGGATCCTCACGAGCTCGTCCAAGCACCACGGTGAATCGGCATAATTGGGAGAGAAAATCGCGATGTAGCACGCGGATCTCTCGATCGCATCCAACAGCGACGGCGAGATCTCTTCTCCTCTTTTGAGATCTGAATAGTCTTTGTAGACGGCGAATTTCTTATGGCGTTCCAGATATGAGTAGAGATGGCTGAGGAAGGTATCGCGAACGTCGCTTCCTCTGAAGCTGATGAAGACGTCGTGCTTCGGAGGCAGAACAAGCGACGAAGAAGAAGGAGTGGAGGAAGGAGAAGGAGGAACTATGTCCCGCGACGACGGCGGCCACGGCGGGTAGAACAGATGGGGGCGAATGAATCTGGGGAGGAAGCGCAGGAAGAGGTTGGAGGGATGGAAAAGAGTAGTACCACGGGTGATGATTTCACTAACGAGTGTTGTCTGCCGCTTGGCAGGTCGGCTCAGAACGAGTTCATCCCCGTCTTCGTCGCGATCGCGTCTACCGCCGTCGATCTTCATTTTCAGATCTGCTGTTGCCGGGAAGTAGAAATGTGAAAGAAAAGTCAACCAAGGAGTAGTGTAGTAGATGAAGGCTTTTGGACGAAGAAGACGTGTTTGGTTTGAAGGTTTAAGTAGTGGGGATGGAGCAAGGCTGCAAGAGCCAAGAAGGTGCTGCGATATTTGTTTGTTAAACTTAATCACAAATTCACATCATCATCTCCATTGGATCATGGCGTTGCAGCCCAATATTTGGTAATCACGATGGACCAATTATCAGATTCAGCCCAGCCCAAACTTGGATCATTGAAAACCGAAAGCCCAGCCCATGTTTATGGTTGTTCTCTGCTCTCTCTCTATCCCTCTCCCTTGTTCTTGCTGTTTCATAGTGCCGTGGGACGAAGTGAAGACTGCTGAGCTGACAGACAGCAAAAACCCAAATTACAAAGAAAGAAGAATTCCTTAGTCATTCCTCTTCTTCTTCAAACTAAAGCCCTTCCTCCTTTCTTCAGTCATCTCTCCTTTCCCTTTTACCCCTCTGCTTTCCTTTCGTTTCTCCCCTTTTTCAGTGTCTCTGCTCTCTTTTTTCTTACTTCAACTCAGGGTGTACACCATTTCCCGCCTCGCTGTCTCTCCTCTCTTTCTCTCTTCCCGTCTCAACTCGAAGAAGTTAATCTGCTAACTGCTTAAAGGGTTAGCAGATACTAACAGGGTCGGATTTTGGGTCACATCGGCCCATGTTTCATCCAACGGAGGAGAGAGGCGGCGTGGTGGTGGCTCACTTAAGTGAGCTGGAGATGGGCTTCCGTGTAGAAGCCGGCCCAGCGTGCAGCGCAGAAAGCGAGCCGAGCAAGTGGCGTGGTGGGCCAGGCTTGAGTTTGGGCGGGAGAATGGAGAGGAGTGGAAAGAGAACGAAAATTGTGGGCCCTAAGTGATATTTATGTATGTTTGTTTGTGTGGATATTTATTTGTTCTCAGTATATATTATTTTCTGTTATGTTGATATTGCTTTGCATCATTGTTGAAATGAACTAGTATTTTTCCTTCGCAAGTCAATATCCATCATTAAACTAATGTTTAATGGCAGCCCAAAATAACCCAACCACCCGAAACTGATTACACCAATTTAGAGTTTAAGTTTTAGAGTTTATGGTTCGGGTTTTCAATTTGTGAAGGATTGGAATATTGTTTCTTACATCAAATTAAACACACTAGGAAATTAAACACACTAAGAAGTCCTAACACGTAAAGCTTGCAACCTTAGTTAGGGCTGCCCGCCGAGGGCCCATGGGCCGAAGGCCCATTAAATAATAATATTTTTATGGATTAGGGTTTGTGTTACGGTTTAATGTTAGGGTTTAGGGTCTTGCTTAGGTTTGAATTGATATTAGTTCATGTTTTCGGAAATTTTTATGGACTTTTGGATATTCTTCTTATAGGGGTTTTTTGATAAAGTGATTAGAGTGTTAGTGTTAGGGTTTAGGATTTATTTTATTTTTTTAGGGTTAAAGGTTTGATTATTAGTCTTGTGGTCGTTTGCAATGAATGGATATTAGTTTACGTGGTTCGGATATTAGTTTTTTGTTGAATTGATATTAGTTCGTGCTTACGGATATTTGTATGGGAAGTTTGGATATTCTAATGGCACTTTTGGTAACTATTTCGATGTGATCATTTGTTTATTTAAGGGCTAATACCACTACAACACCCAAACTATCCGAAAAATGCCACTTCTATCCTATTGTTTCCAATATTCCATTCATATCCTAAACTATTATATTCTGTGTCATTTTTATCCTGCCAATTTCGTTGACCGTTAAAGATAACAGTTGACCAAACGGTGGTCAACTTAACTTTGACTTTTGCTGACGTGGCAATGCCAAGTCATTGACACCTCACATTTTTAATTTAAATATAAAAACAAAAATAAAAAATTGAAAAAACTTTAAATTCAAGAATATTACTAAATAATATTCTAAACCCCCAAAAAAATCCATTAATTTCATCGATCGTCTCTCGTCTCTCTTCTCTCTGCTAGGTGCTTTCCCGTCGACTCTTACCGCCATTTGGTCAGATCTAGAGAAGATTGATGTCGCAGTCGGGGCTGGATTTCGTCGATCGTCTCTCTCCACCCAAAGCTCTCACCAGCGTGTGTGCCGTCCACTAATCTGTGACGCGAATTCTAGATCTGAGATGTAGCTCTTCGACCTTGCGGCCGCCGTTGAGAGGAAGTCTACCAGTTCGTAGTCGAAATCCGAACCGGGTCGCGCTCGTTGCTGCAACGGGGCAGGAGGACTGGCGGCGGACAAGTTACCAGAAATAGAGCAACAAGGGGAAAAGATTTGGGATTGATTCATTATGGGTCTCAGTTGTACCCTCTTTTTAGACGAGCTAGATTGAACAAGGGGAAAAGAAACAAAAAATAGATCTGTGTAGAGCTAGGGGGATAGGAGAGAATCAGATCGAAGATGGCACAAGAGGGAGAGATTGATTGGATGGTGAAGAATTTATTGACGGCGACGCAAGGTAGAGAGATAGACGCAGATGGGAGATGTGGAGCGAGAGAGATTGCCTGAAGAAAGATGAAAAAATCGACAGCAGCTTGCGATGGTATTGTGTAGTGGCCGTCCATTGATTTCCGGCGACCGGCGGAATAAGAAACGACAGGCACTGAAACCAGAAACGACAGGGACCTGGGAAAGAGGGGTGAATGATGGAGCTTTAATTTTTAATTTTTAATTTAAATATTTTTTCCGAAAAAGAAAATAAAAATTGGGCCTAAATTTCCACGTCAGATGCCACATTAACGCTGACTAGGATTTATGTTAAATACTCACGGTCAATGCTGGTCAATACTAACGGAAAAATAGTTCAGGACACATATGGAATATTGGAAACAATAGGACACAAGTGACATTTTTCGGATAGTTCGGGTGTTGTAGTGGTATTAGCCCTTTATTTAAGCATAGAGCACTTTTGGTAACTATTCGGATTAGTCTACAACTATCATATAGTAGTCAGTATGTGGTGGATATTATAATGTCATAGTGATAATATCTAGGAATGGCAATGGGGAAGGTCCGGGGCGGGTATCTCGATACCCATACCCGCCCCATGGCAGGTCGGGTCCAGGTCGTGTAATTTATTACGGGGCGCGGGTCGGCGCAGGTCGACCCAATGGGATGTAATTTATGTCAAAAATATTTGAAATATTAGTTATTTTCATTAAAAGACCAAGAAAGTAACCATAATATGATAAAATCTAGTTAAATTATTGAAGAAATTGAGGTTTTCACTTAATTACAACTTTATTATAACTAAAATATAATGTAATAAGAGGAGAATCCTAAGCAATTTGACTAAGATTATATGTAATTTAGGCAAGAACGGGTCGAGAATGGGGCGGGTCAGGGCAGGTCGGGTCGATGCGAGATACCCATGCCCGCCCCGCCCCACCTACGGAGCGGGTCTGACCCGCCCCAAAACAGGCCAAACAGGCCGGGTAAATCGGGTCAGGTCGAAATTTCCATCCCTAATAATATCCATTTTGGTATCACATGATATTCTTCTGAGACAGAAGGATATTAGACTGGGTGGTGTGGTTATTTGTCTGGGTAGTGTGGATATTCTTTTTAGTTTTAGGGTTTAGGGTTCATTAGTTCATATTTTCGGATACCTTTCTCGTACTTTGGATATTCTAATGGGGCACTTTTGGTAACTATTTCGATATGATCCTTTGTTTATTTAAGCATGTAACACTTTTGGTAATTATTCGGATTAGTGTACAACAATAAGATATTAGTCAGTGTGTGATGGATGCTAGTCTGTTGGATTTTGGTGTGGATACTTTTTTGGAGCCATCCGATACTTTTTTGGAGCCATCCGGTATTATTAGTGTGTGGTGGATGTTAGTCCGTGTTATGGATATTATTTTGTTATATGTACAATATTATTTAGGTGTCACTAGATATTTGTCTGAGACGTTTGGATATTGTTCTGTAGGGTTTGTGTTAAGGTTTAGGGTTTAGGGTTTAATGGTTTAGTTTTGAGGGTTTAGTTTTGGTTTGAATTTATATTAGTTCATGTTTTTTATATTTGACTGGGACGTTTGGATATTCTAATGAGACACTTTTGGTGACAGAGCGTTCTTCAGTACTCAGGGAGTGAGATTCCAGAATGGTTTGCTCATAAAAGGTTGAACTATAAGAATGATTCATGTATAACAGTGCAATTGCCTCCTCCAAGCTCCACTACAAGTCGGCCAGTTAAGAGGATTGCATTTGGTGTTGTGTGTTGTAAGGATATTCCGATCCATCGGATGCAAATGAAGTGCGATTGCAACATCGGCACCACTGTTGCTGCCTCTTGGAGTTCTCCTAGTTTCGGTTTCGGTATGACTCAATCAGATAACGTTTGTATGTGGTATGACAAGAACTTGTTAGGTGAGACCAAGCAAGGAATGCGAGAAGACGCAGAACCATGGTATGTGAGATATGTGGGGCGCGCTGTTTCCTTCAGATTTTCCCTTCAACCAGGCAAGGAGGAAGATCCGGAGAAACTAAAAAGAGCATCAAAATCAAAAGTATTGGCATCTCCCTACTGTACTAACTGCTCATAGTTTGATGTTCTCTGTGTGCTGTAAAAGGGTATCTGCCCCTTTTGTTTTTCCTTTTGGACAATCTGTGATTCGAGAATTTCGTGTAGTGTGCAAACAGACGAAACAAATTGCATTCCAGACAATTAGAGCTCAAGGTTTTCCTAGTGTAGATATGTGAATAGTGAGATATGCTGGTTGTGCTGTTTCCATAATATTCTACCCATGAACAATGGCGGAAGAAGATCCCGGACGAGTAAAGGGTATCAAAAGCAAAAGGGTGGGCGGTCTCTCTACTGTACTCACTGCTTACAGCTAGTTTGATACATGATGATCTATGGAAACATGGAGAAAAGGACGAACGTTTGTTGCTGTTGTTTCCCTGTAATGGAAGTGGAGACCAAAATAAAAAGGCAAGTGAAAAATAAGAGGGAGGCATAGTTGGAAGCACAGGGTGTGAGACTTGTAGTTCATGAATTAGATGGATGTCTGGATGGGGACGTTTCTTAAAGAAGTTCTGTGGCTTTGGTGTCTCCTTTTTACCCTTGACACTGCTTGTTGCATTTGTTGTTGAATGATGGAGTTCCAGAGTTCCAGAATATAAGCGTATGTGAATTAATTAAGTTGTAGTGACTCAGAGTTGTGAGAAGAGAGTTTAGAACAATATTTGTGATGCAGTTAGTCTCTTACAAAATAAATAGATGAAGGTGCAAGATGAAGATAGTTTCTTGTTGACTCATTGGTCATTATTCACTCGATTAGTGCAATACCAGCTTGGGAATAGGTGATCTCATCCTCGTTTTGTCTATGACAACTATTAGTCCGTCAATCCTCACTTAATCATACGAATTGTTAGGTTATGTCATATTGATCGAGTTTGGGATAACTATGATGCTGTCGGGCGTGGAGAGGACTGCATAATTAATACTCACATTTCCGGACCAAAGGCTTTGACATTATTGCACGGCTTACTGATGATGAAAAACTCTGATCTGTGTTACCCTGCACTACTTAAAAGGAGAAATATGAAGTTGGAACCAAAGCAACTGGTTTTGGCAGTAGCGAGAACAAGGTAAGCTCAATCAACCAGTACTTATAACTGCAGGCGAAGCGCGGTAGAATTGAGTTCAATATTAACACAGGAAGACTAGAATAAGAAAAGAACAACCAATCGTATACCGGCATAAAAATTTCCTTTCATCAATTCAGCTGCCCTGTGATCTGTAACAATATTGTCACGAGGAGGCTCTCTGGAGATCAACTGTCGTCATCATCTATTATTATTATCTCCCTGTTGTCGTAAACCGGTATTACCCCACAAGTCTCCACAATGATTGGTATTTCAACAGAACCACCTCCCTCGAGTAGGAAGGCTCTGCGCATGCCCTGAAAGACGAATTTAATGGTAGCATCATCTGTAACTGTGATCTCCAAACCTGCGGAAGAAGAATCCAGAGGTACTAAAACCTCTGCCATCCAGCTAACCTCAGAATCATACCATATTAATAGGTTACTTCCCCGGTCATCTTCTGAATCAAGGTTTTCACGATATATTGGAACTGCCTCGGAAGAACTCGCAGTTATGACATCCCCCCCGCCAGTGCTAGACAAATTGTGACAGTAAACTCTGAATGAAACAGATGAAGTAGTATGGATAGGTTGATGGACAACTTCGGTATGGAATGAAGCACAATAGATTAGTCCCTTCAACTGCCAAAGGCGACCAAGTGTGGCTGTCACCACTGAATTAAGCCCAGAAGGCCTCCATCCATCAGGACTATTCCAACCTCTTGGAAGTAAGAGCCATGGAGTATCCATCTCTGTGCACGTACCCAAGGCATCTTGAGTGAACTGCAAATGAAGTTGATATGATCTAATGATATCCGAGCATCAAATAAAACTCAAAAGAGCGAATAGATCTAGTACCTTGTTGAAAAGCATGCTGCACACATATGAATCCAGCTTTTCACAGTTTCCAAAATTCCATCCACACATCAAGAAGTTATGTTTACTCAACCTGCTAATTGACATGGTTTGAAGTGCGGTGCAGCCATTTGCTTCCAACCATGTCAAGGATGAAGGAAGCTCCGGTAAGTGACTGAGTTGATTGCAACCAGACAACCCGAGGCGGTGCAATTTGGATAGCTTGTGAATGGTGTCGCAGAGGTGTTTGAGACTTTTGCAATCATCGAGATACAATCCTTCCAAGCATGCGAGATCTCCAATGGTGGCTGGCAGCTCTTGGATTGCTGTACGGGACAGAGTAAGCTCTTCCAGTTGTACCAGATTGGAAATGCTATCTGGAAGTCGTGATAGATTGATGCACCCATCTAGATCAAGACGTGATAAAGCTTCCATGGGCACCAAGATTTCTGGAAGTTCCTTCAGTCGGATGCAGTTAGATAAAAGGATAACTACAAGAGCCTTCGACTGAAAAATTAGATCACATAAATGAACAAGCTCTTGATCATTGGCCGAAATTTCGCCACACCACGTTAACTTCTCCAGCTCCTCCAACTTCTGGTTTTGAATTGATGTCCCGGTTAGGTTCAATCGTTCTAGTTTTGGAAAAATGGCAGCAGTAGCCCTATCATCCTTCTTGTTGACATCTGTGTAATATCCCAATGCATTCAACTCCAAGCTGGTACAGTCGTCTAAACGGAGGTTTTCCAGTTTGGGCAGATGCAAAATCGATAGAGGAAGCTCCACTAAGCCTACACAGAAACTAAGATAGATTATTTCCAGTCTTTTAGCCGTAGAGAGATCAGGCAACTTCTTCAAGTATTTGGATTTGCTTAGATCAAGGAACTTCAAATTTCTTAAATCCTGCATGTCGATAATAAGACAGGCTTAAATATTGAAAAGCAAACAAATGGATAAAAGAGATATATCTCACACAAAAACACAAAATTTATACGAACCACATTCTGCATGTCGTCCCAAAGTCGTTCTACGTTGCTTGAAGGCAAAGACAGTGTCGTAAGATTCTCCGAACAAAATTCATATGGTAAACATCTCATTGGGAATGAGTGCCAACTAAGAATTACCAATGAATTTGGTAGGCATCTCAAACCGTCTTTAGAAAGAACCAATTTTGTGTCAGATTGACGTATCAAAAGGTATCTAAGATTTTCCAACTTCACAAAAGCATCATATTGCAGATGTATTGCCTCTATCCCCGACTCACCACTGGATTTATCCCAACAAATGCCTCGGGTGACTTTACTTCCCTGTTTAGTGGGAGAAATACCAATGAAAAATTTACTCAACATTTAGCTCATTTGTATATATAGTAAACAAGATAATAATTACTCAACAGAGGTTATGTGTCATTAGTTTAGCATTGAATTGGAATAAAGTGTTTACTCAGTCCACGTACCTTGCCTTGTTTAAAGAAACTATATATGTCTTGAGCTTCAAACAGCCATGAACGTTTTTCAAGTCGGAGCTTTTCATTGACAAAGCTACGGCCCAAATCAACCAGCAACCCATGCATATGTATATAAGAAGAATAAACATTGTCCGCTTTTAACATAGACTTGTCAATAAATTTAGTAATAAGGTTTTCACTCCCACCATGTTCAACATAGTTTCCATCCAATAGTCTTTCCAACTCCTTGACAGAAACCTCGTATCGACCATAAAGACATGCAATATCAAGGAATGCATTTTTCTCTATTTGACCTAGTCCATCATAAATCCTCCGAAAGACTCTTTCAAGACTTTGATTTGGGTGATGCTCCAAGGCTCTCAACTCAATATCCCAAAAGTTTCGGTCCCTGCCATACAAATGCGAGCCTAGAGTAGTGAGAGCTAAGGGGTTACCCTCCGCATAAGTGATAACTCTCTTGGACCACTCCTCATACTCGATTGGAGGACAATGCTCTTTGAATGCACTGAGGCAGAATAACAGTAGAGCTTCATGTTGATCAAGAGCCGCCACTTCATAAACGTAACGACACACGTTCTTAAGCACTTGTTTGTTCCTGCTTGTCAGGATAATTATACTTCCCGGCGCAAATAAGTCACAATATCGTCCGTTAAACAAATTGTTCAAGTGTCTGATGTCTCCAACATCATCGCCCACATCATCGATGACAACCAAAGCCCTCGTACGGCCAAGCCGATCGTCTTTCAAATCTCGAGATATTCTCCCTGCATTCTCATCACCCAACAATCTAGAGAAGAAATCATTCTGCAAGCCATCACGCAAATGCGATGAAGCACTTAATTGGTCTGAGAAGTCACTCCAGAAATACAAAACTTCGAATTGACTGGAAAATCTATCATAGAAAGCCTTCGCAAGAGTTGTCTTCCCGATGCCACCCGTCCCCCACAGTCCTATAGTCAAATTTTTACTCCCACTAGTTACCCACTGTTCGATCTCATTCATCCTCCTCTCTATTCCCACCAAACCCACATTGGAATATGAAGCCGGTACCATTTGAGCGGATAGAGCTTGTAACACAGCTCTACAAATTTCCTCAATCAGTTTTGATTCAGGTCTGGGAAAAGAAATAGCTATTTAGCAAAACAAATCAAGTATTTCTATTTCTATCGAATTGGATACTTACTACGTTATGAGAAAAGTTAAGTACAAAATACTTATGTAGAATTTACTTTGTCTCTAAATTAATGTTATATTTAATAGTACGTTAATAGTTATAAATATATAAAATTAATTATTTTAAAAATAAATAATAATAAAATTAGCAATTTAGTTAATAAAATAGAGATATTTAAACCGATAAAATGTGTATGATACATGTAAATGTAATAAACAGAGTATTTATTGACTATGGTTTCGAGAAAAGAAATAACTATTTAGCAAAACAAAGCAAGTAGTTCTATTTCCATCGAATTAGATAATGCTACGAAAGAAACGTGTTGAGGTGTATATGTAAGCCCGAGATTATTCAAGGGGTCTTTTGTACTTTTACACCTCTGACCCTAATACTCACGTAAGCTGTGATGAGAGTATATATAAGGGTTTATTGGCCTTATGGCTATGTAACAGCAGCTGCAGATCATTCTGCTAAACCTAATAAGAACATCCTGGAACTCACGTTCCCGTGGACTAGTCCTGTTCTCACGAACAGGGAAACCACGTAAATCTCGTGTGTTATCTTTCGTTTTCGCTTTAAGGTTGTCACTATTTTACATGGTATCAGAGCGGTGATCAATCGACCGATCGCATCCATTGTAAGCTGCAATCATGTCAGGAGAAGACGGCAGGAGCGGCACCAAGGAGGTCGTCACCGATCTCGATTCAATTCCACTCACGTCGCCCCTATATCTGCATCCTTCGGAGAATCCTGGCCAACTATTTGGGAGTGATCTCCTAACCGATACGAATTATAGTGAGTGGGTAGGTGATATGACGGAGACCCTTATCGCCAAAAACAAACTCGCGTTTGTTGATGGAAGCTTTCCGCGCTCGAAAGCTGGGACGGGGATCCGCGACGAAGCCTGGGGTCGGTGTGATGCCACCGTGAAGGGATGGCTCAAGACCGCCATGAGCAAAGACATCCGGAACAGCGTTCGCGGGACGCTTACCTCGCGTGACATTTGGGCTGACTTCAGCAACGTTTTGGGAAGGGATCAGCAAGTCGGGCATATGAGCTGCGAGGCGCCATCAGTTCGCACCGACAAGGGAAACAGTCGGTCTCGGCATTCTACACGCACTTGAAGACGTTGTGGGATGAACTAAGCTCGGTTTCTCTCAATCCCCGCTGCACATGTGGTACTTGTACGTGCGACATCAGTCGTCAGACGAGAGAGAAGGAGGAGGCAGAACGTCTTTTCGATTTTCTGCTTGGGCTTGACGATGCTTTCAGTGTTATTCGGTCCCAGATCTTAAGCATGAAGCCCACACCGTCGCTTGAGGAAGCTTACCAGCTGGTCGCTGCCGAAGAACAACAACGACTGATCACAGCCGGCCGTAGGCCACCGGTTGAGGCCGCGGCGTTCATCACTCGTGGGGACAAAGACATTGAGGAGGACAAGCCTCGATGCTCTCACTGTAACAAGTTGGGGCATACCAAAGAGAGTTGCTTCAAACTCATTGGTTACCCTCAAGACACAAATAAAGGACGTTCTGGAGAACGTGGAGCTGGGCCACGACGCTCTAAAGGAGACAGAGATACCAAACAAGTTCGGGCAGCCAATGTTGAAAGTGATGAGAGCCCAATTCCGGGCCTTTCCGCAGCACAGTTTGACAAGCTGAAAGAGTTTCTTTCCTCTCCGTCATCTGCCGCAACTGAATCGACTGCTCACATGGCTGGTAATTCTTCTGAACTCTATGAATGGTTAATTGACTCCGGGTGCAACGAACATATCGTTCGGGACTCTAAGTGGTTAGATGAGGCTAAACCAGAGGGACACCATTCTGCCGTTCGGATACCCAATGGTGATAGTATACCTGTCACAGGGATTGGGACCGTTACCCTGAATGAACGGATTAGACTTGATCGTGTGCTTCATGTTCCCACATTCAAGTGTAATTTGCTGTCTGTTAGTCGTCTCACCAAAGATCATGATGTTGCTTTGCTTTTCTTGGCAAATCTCTGCGTTATTCAGGACTTACGTTCCAAGACTATGATTGGACTGGGTCACCTTCGTGATGGGCTCTACTATTTTCAGCAAACTGGGATGAGAGGGCCGCCACGTGATGAGAAGTCACCAGTCCGAGTTCTTGCTGCAGTAGGGAAGCTGAGTTCCAAGCTCTGGCACGATCGGCTTGGGCATCCCTCTCCTGCGAAGCTTTCTCATTTGAAGAACATTATTGCTTTATCTGATTTTTGCCAAGACACTCATCATTGTGATTCTTGTTTGCGTGCTAAACAGACTAGAGCACCTTTCATTTCTCATTCTATCAAAACAAAGGCTTGTTTTGACATTGTTCACATGGATATCTGGGGTGGTTATCGGACCCCTTCTTTTGATGGCTCACGATATTTCATGACAGTGGTTGATGATTATAGTCGTGCCACTTGGGTGTATCTTCTTAAATTTAAATCTGAGGTTGAGCGGTATATTCATCTCTTCTGTGAAATGGTTCGAACTCAGTATGGAGCTCAGGTTCGCAGGATACAAACTGATAATGGGTTGGAGTTTGGGACGCATTCCTTGCGTGGTTATTACGAGGCGAATGGGATTCTGTTGCGAACATCGTGTGTCAACACGCCCCAACAGAACGGAGTTGCTGAGCGTAAGCATCGGCATTTACTAGAGACCGCTCGGGCTCTTCGTTTTCATTCGGGACTTCCAGTGCGGTTTTGGGGTGAATGTGTACTGACTGCAACGTACCTCATCAACAGGCTTCCTTCTTCTGTTCTTAAAAACAGGACACCTTACGAAGTTTTGTTGGGGAAGCCGCCTTCATATAATCATCTCCGCTCATTTGGTTGTTTGGTCTATGCGAAAGATACTACTCATGGGCTCGACAAGTTCGCCGAGAGGGGGAGACCTTGTGTTTTCATGGGATATCCCGCGTCTCAGAAGGGATACCGAGTGTTCGATTTGCAATCACTACGCATATATTCGTCACGTGATGTGCATTTTATTGAGGGGACATACCCCTTTCGTGATCATGGTGGAGAAGCCACTGACCTTGATTTTCATAATGGGCAAAGACATACTAATATTGTGCCCATGCATGCAGATCACGATGACTTTGACAATGATCTGCGACCTGGTGAAGAAAACCAAAATCAAGCCAATGATACCTTAGATGAAGACCAAGGCGTAGGATCCACTTCACCAACTGTTGATCCGAATGCACAGGTAGCTGGTGGGCAACTTGATCCTGGCGTTGTTCCCACTCTGAGACGAGGGACACGCAACCGCCGACCTCCCCCGGATTTGCTTGCTATATATGACACTCAACTTCCACAACAAGCCTCGCAGGGGACAGCTCATTCGTCCCACTCGACGGAGTCTATGTATCCGCTTGCTCATCATGTGAGCTACCATCGCTTTTCGTCTAGTCACCGCGCGTATCTTGCAGCTTTGTCGAAGATAGTGGAGCCGAGATCATTTGCGCAGGCCATCCTTGATCCCCGATGGAGAGCAGCCATGCAGATTGAAGTTACAGCTCTTGAGAAAAATGGTACTTGGACTTTAGAGTACCTACCTCCCGGGAAGAAGGCCATTGATTGTAAATGGGTCTTCAAGGTGAAGTATAACCCGGATGGATCCATCGAGCGTTTCAAAGCGAGGCTGGTCGCAAAGGGATTCACGCAACTAGAAGGTGTGGATTTTCACGACACCTTCGCACCTGTGGCAAAGGTAGTCACAGTTCGTGTTTTAATAGCAGTGGCAGTCAGCAAGGGATGGAGCCTGCACCAGTTGGATGTGAACAATGCGTTCCTCCACGGTGATCTTGAAGAGGAAGTATACATGAAAGTCCCTCAAGGTTTTGCAAAGGATGGAGATACTCGTGTATGCAGACTGAGAAAATCCTTGTATGGATTAAAACAGGCATCAAGAAATTGGTACCAGAAGTTCACGTTGGCGTTAGGTGAGCTTGGTTTTCAACCCTCACGGGCAGACCACTCTCTCCTTCTCTACCGCCAAGGGAAGACCTTCGTAGCAGCCCTCATCTACGTTGATGATGTGATCTTAACGGGAAATGATTCCCAGTTCATAGCTCGCGTCAAAAGTTTTCTCGATCAGAAGTTTAGCATCAAGGATTTGGGGAACCTTAAGTACTTTCTCGGCATTGAGGTTGCACGATCAGATGCAGGAGTGATTCTTAGCCAAAGAAAGTACACTTTAGACATATTGGCTGATGCGGGCATGACAGGGACGAGACCTAGTCGTTTCCCGATTGAGCAAAATCATACTCTCACTCGACCTACTGATCAAGTTGACGAGGATCCAAGCAGCTATCGTCGCCTAGTGGGACGACTGTTGTACTTGACTGTGACCAGGCCAGACATCTCTTATGCGGTAAATATATTATCGCAGTTTGTTCACCGTCCCAGTCCTGAGCATGTTGCAGCAGCGACCCGAGTCCTACGATACTTGAAGACAGCGCCCGGGCAAGGATTATTTTTCCCGGCTAATAGCGATTTGACGCTCACAGCTTACTGCGACGCTGATTGGGCAGGATGTCAGCAGACCAGGCGGTCCACCACAGGTTATTATATACAGCTTGGCGGTGCACCGGTTTCCTGGCGGACGAAGAAGCAGAGTGTGGTCTCTCGGTCCTCAGCTGAAGCAGAATACAGAGTTATGGCAAGCACTGTTAGTGAGGTACTTTGGTTGCGTTTTCTTCTTAACGAGTTGGGTGTTCCGCAGGCAGGGCCTACTCTCCTCTTTTGTGATAATCAGGCGGCACTTCATATTGCTGCCAATCCAGTGTTCCATGAACGAACTAAACATGTTGAGATGGATTGTTATTTCGTTCGGGAACGGGTCACATCTAGAGAAATAGAGCCGCAGAAGATCGGAACGACATTGCAGCTCGCCGATATCTTTACGAAGGCGCTGGGGACGGAACAATTTCATTTTCTTTTGTCCAAGCTTGGCATTCGTGACCTTCATGCTCCAGCTTGAGGGGGAGTGTTGAGGTGTATATGTAAGCCCGAGATTATTCAAGGGGTCTTTTGTACTTTTACACCTCTGACCCTAATACTCACGTAAGCTGTGATGAGAGTATATATAAGGGTTTATTGGCCTTATGGCTATGTAACAGCAGCTGCAGATCATTCTGCTAAACCTAATAAGAACATCCTGGAACTCACGTTCCCGTGGACTAGTCCTGTTCTCACGAACAGGGAAATCACGTAAATCTCGTGTGTTATCTTTCGTTTTCGCTTTAAGGTTGTCACTATTTTACAAAACGAGAAAAAATTACGCAAAGCATACCTGGTAACTCGTGAATCGAAGCCCGAAATGGCGGCTGCCTTAGTCAAAGCAGCTCTCCAACTCCGAATTTTGCCATCCGCCTCCCCCTTCGGAAGCTTCCGGTAGCTTCCAGTTTGATTTTCGACATGAGAAGGATCCACGCCCCCGTAGAACACCGGAACTACCCGCCGCCCGTACCGTTGACAGCAGTCGAGGATCCTCACGAGCTCGTCCAAGCACCACGGTGAACCGGCGTAATTGGGGGAGAAAATCGCGATGTAGCACGCGGATCTCTCGATCGCATCCAACAGCGACGGCGAGATCTCTTCTCCTCTTTCGAGATCTGAATCGTCTTTGTAGACGGCGAATTTCTTATGGCGTTCCAGGTAGGAGTAGAGATGGCTGAGGAAGGTATCGCGAACGTCGCTTCCTCTGAAGCTGATGAAGACGTCGTGCTTCGGAGGTAGAACAAGCGACGAAGAAGGAGTGAAGGAAGGAGAAGGAGGAACTATGTCCCGCGACGACGACGGCCACGGCGGGTAGAACAGATGGGGGCGAATGAATCTGGGGAGGAAGCGCAGGAAGAGGTTGGAAGGATGAAAAAGAGTAGTACCTCGGGTGATGATTTTACTAACGAGTGTTGTCTGCCGCTTGGCAGGTCGGCTCAGAACGAGTTCATCCCCGTCTTCGTCGCGATCGCGTCTACCGCCGTCGATCTTCATTTTCAGATCTGCTGTTGCCGGGAAGTAGAAATGTGAAAGAAAAGTCAACCAAGGAGTAGTGTAGTAGATGAAGGCTTTTGGACGAAGAAGACCGTGTTTGGTTTGAAGGTTCAAAGTAGTGGGGATGGAGCAAGACTGCAAGAGCCAAGAAGGTGCTGCGATATTTGTTTGTTAATCACAAGTTCACATCATCCAATGACGGACCATGAAAACTACATCTTCCAATGAACACAATGTTCTGCAGGCTATTTGTTGTACCAATAATTCACAACTAGATTTTCATGATTATTGAAAGTTGACACGACGACTTGCTATTCCACATTGAGTATATCTACAAGCCAATGCCACGTCCTCAAAAATCAAAATAAGGCCGAGTTGAAAGATGATCTTCGCACCAGTACATATATTACTTCCACGGAAGATGTTGTCACCTGCATTCAAGTTCTCCCGTCAAACAAAACAAAAATAATCAACCTGGTTATTTTAAGCGCGGTTATCAACCTGATTTAGCTCGATGGTCTGCTTGAGTAAATGAGTTGAGAGGTAATAAACCGATTGTTTTAGGTACGTATGTAGATGGTAATTTCAATGGAATTTCCATATCACTATTTCATGTCACTGTCCTTTTCTGCTTTCCCCCAAATTGGATTTGATAAAGAGTTTGTGGGGGTAGTTGGAGACCACAACATGAAGAGACGACTCCTCGTCAACGATAATTATTATTAATTAATTAATATTATTAAACCGTAAGTAAACCATAAGTATATTCACTGTTCCTTACGATTTTATCTCCCTTATCACTATTCATTGGGGGAACTTATATGATACAGCCGGTTTTATTGTTATAATGTCATATATTGCCCACCTTTGGAAAGGCATGGAGGCTGGCCGAGCTACTCTATTTGTTTCATTTTATTTGGAGGATATGACTAATTAAAATTATTCTTATATGCTTTGAAGGCTAATATATATATATATATATATATAATATTATTAAACCGTAGTATATTCACTGTTCCTTACGATTTTATCTCCCTTATCACTATTCTTTTTTTTTATTTTTTTTTATTTCTGAGTGATATCAATGGAGAAAAATATTTAAACTTACAATTCTACCCAGGACCCCTAAAAGATTCTAAAGAAGCCATAAGTATATTGCCGGTTTTATTGTTATATGATACAGCCGGTTTTATTGTTATAATGTCATATATTGCCGGTTTTTTATCACTATTCATTGGGGGAACTTATATGATACAGCCGGTTTTATTGTTATAATGTCATATATTGCCCACCTTTGGAAAGCCATGGAGGCTGGCCGAGCTACTCTATTTGTTTCATTTTATTTGGAGGATATGACTAATTAAAATTATTCTTATATGCTTTGAAGGCTAATATATATATGGGCAGTTCTACGGTGCCCAGGGCAAAATCAGGGGTACGGGTGACCGGGGGCAAGGAAAATTACCAAATGCATCACGAAGCGTTTATGGTGACTTCTACGGACTTCAACCTAACTGTACCCGGTTTAATGATAGCGATTAAGAGGTTAAACCCTATGGATACGACCCGCCGCCCTAACCAATTTCCACTCTCCCTTCTACGATCCCTCATTCGCCTTGGAGGGTCCCCTCTAACTCTAAGTTCGAAGTTCGATCATAAGCTGCCTATCAAATCTGAAATCTCCAACAAAATCATCGTTTCGAAACCCAAATCCTTTTATTATTTGATCCACATTCGATTTAGCTCCCTATCCAATCTCAAATCCCCAACATCATCATGTTTCATACGCCAAATCTATGTATCCACATTCGAAGAGAAGATCCCCATCCAATATGAAATCCTCACATAATCATCGTTTAGAACCCCAAATCCTTTTATCCACAAATCGACGTTTTGTTCATCGCCATTTTATTTCCGTGCGGAAAATTACTCGCCTTACTCTTGCTAACACGATTACGGCGACCATGTCTATTATTGTGTTCATCAAACTTTTCGTTTGCAAAAGAACCCTTGAAAGAGATTTGCTAATCCTAGGGTTCATGTCGCTAGTGCTTTGTCATCTTGTCTTAGCGTTATTGTCATTTTCTCGAAACTTCTATCACTCGGTGAAATTAAGGTTTCCTGATATGCAGTGTTCGTCTCGCCCAGAGGATTGAGGAAGGAGATGAAGAAGACCTAATTTGATTCGAATCAGATGGAGAGGTCTCCTTAATTTGTGTTTATGTATTAACGCTGCGTTTAGGACTAATTCTAGTTGGACTGGGTCTGATCATTGATTTTTGCAGGCTAAAAAAAAAAACATTCAAACGTGGGCTTGTACATGGACCCATGACACCTAGTTTGTTGATAATAGATACTGAGTTCCGGATTGTCATTAGGTTGGGCCTTTGATAATTGTCTATCTCAGACTCTCAGTGGCGATTCTTTGTTTTACTTATTTTCATCTGCTTCTGCTTCTAAAATCCTGATCATTCATTGAGTTCACGCAATTTAAACATAATTCTGTGTTCCATCTTTTTTGGAATTTGGTAAATGCTAGCGTGTCTCTTTACACATTTAGCGGTACGAGGTAAACTACAATCCGCCCAATTTAACTCTTCATTAATTGAGATCCCATTCCACTCTCTCACCGATTTCCCCTCTTTATGCAATGCACTCGTACATAACAAACCTCTTGTAGACTAATTAGAGGCTTGTGGTTGGATACTGAGTGAGGATATTTTTTGAATTTATGTTTTGAAACGAAAGTTAGAGTTTCACTTTTGAAGTACCTATGTACTTTAGTTGGACAAGTATTTTCAATCGGTAAAATTTTATCAGCGTATAGGTATACGATTGTTGTATAAGGTGTTGATGTTAGAGGAAATGGGTACTGACTGCTTAGGGTATTAGGTTGTTGATGGTATAGAGTATATGGTATATGGGTAGGTTATAAGGTGTTGATGGTTCAGAGCATATGGTATCGATTGGTTAAAGGGTGAGGGTAGGTGTTGTCTTATTTTTTCTCGATTATATATTTTCTTTATATTTGCTTATAAATGCTGATCATGCCTTATTACTAAGACATAATTCGTTATATCTGCTTATAAATGCTGTATATCTGCTTATAAATGCTGATAATTTATTGTTTGATTTGAACCTGCGTGTTTTTGCTCCGAATGATTTTGTAGTGGCGTGGTAAAGACAATCCGTCCAATTTAACTCTTCATTAATTCCCCCTTTTCTTTTCTGTTTTGGTAGAATAATTACCCCTTTTCCACTCTCTCAGTCCCCGCCGAAGTTGAAACAATCCCCTGTGATATATTTATCGATCATTTTAACCCTTCACTTAATAAGAAAGCGAAATTATGCAAGATGGTCATCAATGTGATGTAGCTTAATTGGTTAATTGTCTCTTATTTGCTTAGTCAATAAAGTAGAGGTTTGTGGTTCGATACTTAGTGAGGTATCAATTTTTAATTTATGTTTTGAAAAGCAAGTTATAATTTTAATTTATCAGCGTCTAGGTATACGATATTGTATAAGGTGTTGATGGTTTAGAGTACATGGTATTGGGTTAGTGTATTGATCATCTCCATCCCTAAAATAAGATATTGTATAAGGTTTTGATGGTTTAGAGTATATGGTATTGGGTTAGTGTATTGATCATCTTCATCCCTAAAATTGAACAACAATTTCTAAACGAGGTCCCTACCGCCACATCATCAATTTTAGCAATTCATCACTTAACAATTTCTATTCATCTACATCCCTACATTATGCTAGTAATTGCCAAGGTGGGTTCCATTTTATATTTCAAAGGAAACACTTATTATAAATTGAAAGTTGGGGATGGAGATAGAAGAAGGTGTTGTTGGTATACAGTATAAGGTCTTGAAGGTGATGGACGTATAAGGGAGGAGCAAGGTGTTGATGGTTTAAAGTATATATGTTATTGATTGGTTACGGTATAAGCCTATAAGGTGTTCTTATTGTTGTAGAGTATATGATATTGATTGGTTCGTGTATTAGGGTTTGGTTTAGGGTTTAGGGTTTAGGGTTTAGGGTTTAGGGTTTAGGGTTTAGGGTTTAGGGTTTCAAGTTAGAATAACATAAACCAGATCAATAGAGTAATGTTGGTAAACGAAAAAGTTAGTTAATCTACAAATTCAGACTATTTAAAAAAGTACATCCCCATTTCCCACCGTCAATTCCTAAACTTTTCCCTTGATCCGATGGTGAAATACCTTCGATCCTCGTCGCGTGCGTGTCACCCAATCAGATATTGCCGAATTCGGAAAGTCGCTTTTGCCCATAACCAATGCTGGCGTTACCAAGGCCGAGGCAATGGTAGGGACTGTAATTTTCAGTAAATGTGAAGGGAGGGAAAAGTAAAAGTAATTACGAGTCAATCTTTAAATTCGTTAATCAGTGAAGGAGAGGCCGTGCTCCGATCCTTGAAAAGAACCCTTTCTTCCATCTTCTCAATATGAGACTCCGAAAACCATCTCCTGCTGCTTTTCGTTCCTCCTCCTCTCAATCCCTGAAAAGAACCCTTTCTTCCATCTTCTCAATATGAAACCCCGAAAATCAACTCCATCCGCCTCTCGTCCTCCTATCCCATGCTTTATTTTCGGGTGCAGTGGTAATGATGAGACTGCGTATTATTTTAGATCTCATTTCCTTTCATTATGTCATTGTTAGATCGTGACTGTTAAACTAAATCCTTCGTTGTATTGTTTCTCCTTTTCTCTCCATGCAGGGTCTTTGTTAGAGGCAGGGAGGGGAGCAATGACAATAAGTCGCCGTCTGAATATAGCCAGAAGAATCATCACATGTTGTTGCGATTCCATAATAGGTGTTGTGGAACCCTACTTCATGTGGTGATTCTTCTGGGCCATATTGACGCGTACTTGTTGATCATGCTCCCAAAATGTATACAAGATAGGAAAGTTGCCATATGTATAATAGGATAAAATAGTTAGGGAAAGTACAGCTTTTTGTTTTTGTTCGACTCTATG